TATTTAAATAAAATTTGATTTTATTTAAATATTACTAAATATTGATTATTTTATGCTAAAATGTTTAGTATAAATAGATGCAAAATGTTTGTAAAGATGTGAAGTGATTTTGTGAGAAAATCAAAGAGAGAAGAAAGTGTTCTTCATATATTTCAAGAAAGTGTTCTTGATAATTCCCAAATTATATATATATATATATATATATTCCTATACAAGAAAACCGAGACATTTCTACTAGCGAAGAAAGGTCGTCGGAACCGGGATTCATAGGGTGGATACGATTAGAGGGAAGACATTTGGATTCCTAAAGCGAGTAACCTCAAGCCGTTGAAGTTACAACCGGGAACCGATTCCCACAATCCACATCTTTGTTGAAGGAGTTCAAGACACTCGGTAAATATTTCGTATTAGTATTTACTTTATTATAACAAATCAAAATTTGTATATGATGCATATTTTAAAGATGACGATCTGTTAATTCGCAATTAGTATGTATGGGTGTTGTATTTATACGATAAATACTTACTTTAAAAATTTTAAATTCCGCTGCGTACAGCCCGTACGGTACTAACGAACCCAACACTGTTTGCGCCGGCAGGGTGTTGAAATTGTTGGCAATAACCAATGGGAATCGGCGTTCGGTGGAGATTCTAGTATTTGTCGAGAACAGCGGGGAACATGATGGCGGGACATTGTACAACGGTCCACCGATTTTCTATGAAGAGCCTCCGGGGCCTAACGTGACGCTTTCTGATTTTGTCTTGTATAAGCCGCTGGAAAAATATTTCTCCATGTTACTGGAGGTTGATGATTTTGTTGCTCAGGATTCCAAAAATGAGGGCCACGGGCAATCAGGCACAAAGACTGCTCCTTGGTTAATGGCTAAAGAGCGGTTACAACAGTGGAAACACAATCATTGTGCATTGGCATATTCTACAGTGGGGACATTTTATTATTTGGCACCAAAGGTTTTGTTAAAGAAAGGGTATAAGATGGAGTGTGATTGTACGAGATGCTCATAGTTATCCTCTATTTTGTTCTGATGATCCTAGGATAACATGTCGCAAGATAATAAATTGGAGAACATGTATTGAAGTTCCCTGAAGAACCAAAAATATCTTATGAGGCTAAGGATCTTATCCTCTATTTGTTATGTGATGTTGGGCGACACTCACCCTTCGTGTTCGACCGTGGGAAACGACGGGGATTTACTACCATGGGTGCGACACCACACATCGGCCACGAGAGCGCATCGGCTTCGAAGGCGAAGCCTTCCGAACTGGGGGAGAATAGTGTAGATTATTATTATTATTATTATTATTATTATTATTATTATTATTATTATTATTATTATTATTATTATTATTTATCTTGGCTTGGTGGACAAGCTAAGGAATAGGGTTATGGGAGTCTTATTTAAAGGAATCTCCATCTATTATTTTAGGTGGTTGATTTTGGAATGAAATAATATTTGATATCGTGTTTAGGTGTTCTTGAGATTGCAATCTCATTAATATCGTCCCACTCAGGCCACCAGGGCTCGTGGCAGATTCAACACCCGCTCATGCTCATTAAATCCACACTTCAGTCGATCCTATTTGATTTCGCACATCTTCTGCGAGGGGAACCTACCCTCTACCTAGCCAGCCAATTTGCCACCACTTCCCAGAGGCGCACTTTGCACCCAGACGACGCCCCTCTCTGCCTTCGTACTCTTGTGCGGATGGATCGGGATGGCTACCCCTCTTTCAAATTCTAGTAGTCGTTCTGTATTTTGTGCTTTGGACCACTTTGTGGTACAGACTACTCGCCTGAACACCTGTCAGCCCAGGATCAGACTTTGCGATTTGCTTGTAGTTTTTTTTTTCTTTTTTTTTTTTCATTTTTGTTTTCGTTCTCTATCTGAATGTGTAGACCTATGTTTTTTTTGTCCCAAATAGGGTCTTAACTATATACAGGTTGGGGATCCAACCTTATTTTATCATCCTCTCGGGTCGTTACTTCGCTTAAAAAAAATTGAATGTCTGAATAAAAATTTTAAAACGACAATTATTTTGAAATGAATTATAATGTAATTTATTATCTTTTACGTGCACGAATTGTATAATAATTTTAAACAAACATGTTTTATTTAATTCTGCACAATTTAAATTTTATATAATATTTTTAATAAATTAATATACGCAAAATGTATTTTTAATATTTTTAATTTATAAATATTATTTAATTAGCATTTTTCGGCTGTTGTAAGCCCCTTCCCCTTCCCCAGATCCCCTGTGGATTGAATCTGTAGCCCTGAAAAACACATACGGTACAACAGTTGAGATGGAAGAAGAAATACAGTGTTCGTTGAAATACAGCGGTTCAGTCGTCGTACTTCACGACGCCCTCGTCATAACCATGGATTCTCAAAGTCGAGTTTTTCGGAACGGCGCTGTTGCTGTTCGAGGCGACACAATTGTAGCCGTTGGCCAATCGCAGGATGTCATATCTCAGTTCTCCTCAACTTCACCCCAACTCATTAACCTACAAGGACACATTTTACTGCCAGGTACACCCGTTTCCTTTTGTTTTTCAATTACCATATGATTATAGTAATATCAAAACATATTTCATTGTGATGTTCAGGGAGGATAAGTTTTTAATTTTCCCTTTTTTATATTGTAAACTAGACTGTTGGTAGTTGTAGAATGGCTGTAAAGTTGGCAATGTTTGTTTGGTGCCTTATATTTGGATATTGTTATTTCTTTGTTGTGTGCATTTTAGATGTCTAAATTGATCTGTATGTGACGTTCAGATGACATCTTTACCTTCCGTTTTCATCTTCTATTGGAATGGTTTAAACTCAGACTAGATAACAGTCAAATTTGCCCCTTATCTGTATGGAATCATCTACACCAAGGATGAAATATTCGTTATGCAGACACCATGTATGTACATATGGTATTAAAATTGATAAGAGTGCTTGACTGGTGCAATGTAGTGTTTGACTATCTGGTTATTCAAGATTGAATGCATCCTCGTAGGCACTTTATTTTGTTTAGAAACGAAATTTGTTATCATCTCAGAAATATTTATTAGGAAAACTAATTATAGATGTTCATGATAGTAATACTTTTTCATGTAAATATGGTAAAGTTATCTGAAAATGTTAGTTAGAATACTGAATGGTCAACTCCCAACAGTTGCAACATAAATGAAATTTGAGTTGTGAAAGATAGGCAGAGTCAAGAAGATGTTTGATCACATTGTTTCTTAAGGATCACAAGACTATTGGAAAGTGAAGAGTTCCTTTGAAATAAATTTAATTAACAAAAAAAAAGGTTCAGACTTTTTCACATATGAAGAAATACTCCACTTGTTTCAGAAGGTGTTAGACTTCAACTGAAGTCCTCTTGTTAAGTGGTTCCTGTTAATTTTATGATTTGAGACGCCTATAAATGATTTCTCATTTTCTATAATGGTATTTGTGTTTTATCAATGAAAAATTATATTTTTGACATAGATGAAATCATATAATGGCTGGAGATTTTTTGTTTCGAACAGGTCTGATAAACACGCATGTTCACACGTCACAGCAGCTGGCGAGAGGGATAGCTGATGATGTTGACCTGCTGACATGGCTTCATGACCGCATTTGGCCTTATGAATCCAACATGACAGAGGAAGACTCTTACCTTTCCACTTTACTCTGTGGAATTGAGCTCATCCACTCAGGTGTAAGCACTGCATTTTCTGCGTGAATGTGTGGTAAATTAAAATTTCTCCCGATGGTAGCTTGCTGTAAAATGGATAGCATTCATCTTTACTTGATTCTTTTAGTATTGGCAGTAAATAAGTAAACAATTGAGATCTTATTAATGGTGATAGGTCACTTGCTTTGCTGAGGCTGGAGGACAGCATGTGCCTGGAATGGCAAGGGCAATCAGACAGCTGGGAATACGTGCATGTTTGACTCAATCTGTGATGGATGCTGGGGAAGGATTGCCTGCATCATGGGCAAAAATGACTGTTGATGAGTGTATCCAGGTTGGTGCATTTGTGATTGACTATATTTGATATAATGATATATATATAACTAAAATAACTTATGAACAAGACTTGACTATTCGCTCTCTAGAATTTGTGGTTCTACTGTGTTTGACATGAATCATAATGTTACTCTTTCATGGTTAGTGTTTGTAAAGTGGAACTCGTTTGCTAATAAATTTTATCTCGTAAGGGAGGTCTCTAAGGTTATCTATCTTTCACGTGTTTGAATCTTCAGAAATTTTTAGTGTTCACGAATAATTTAGTGTATATTTATTTTTTATTTTTGTTTGGTTCTTTATAGCAATTTGATGCTATTTGGAATTTGTATTATAAGATATTGGTTTAAGATTTGAAGAATTCTTACCATTAAACAGTGGTATATCAGGAAGCACTCTGATAAACTCTGCATGAGCACCCATATTTTATTTGGTCCCTTTGCCAAAAAAATAACATTAAGAAACATTTAATTTCTTCGTCTGATGCTGCATTTTCATTTGGATTACTTTTTAAGTACCAATTAATTTCATCTGATACCTAAGGGGGTGATTGGATATGAATTCAACTAGTAAAAAACAAGTTTTTTTTTTAACTATAGTTAAGTTTAAAAAAAAGTAATATGGTTAGTTGTTAGTGGATATATTAAAATAATATTTAAATTAAAATAATTAAAGTTGATTTGATGTAAAAGTAGGAGAAAATGATTGGAAGTGATGGTTAGTTAAAATTATGTGAGTGGGTGAATAGTGAATTAAAGTTGATGTGAAGTGTAATAATAATTGTTTGATATTATTTAATTATATTGATAATATTGAAGATAGTGGAGTTGAGTTAAAGTTGAGTTAAATTTGAGTTTTGAGTGGGATATTTACTGTACAACTTATAAACAATCACGCTCTAAGTGTGTTATCACAACTAATTACCTCTTTTTCCAAGGGGACAGTCCCAGAAGGATCTGTACAAGAAATACCATAATACTGCTGATGGACGCATCAGAATATGGTTTGGTTTAAGGCAAATAATGAATTCAACTGATCGTTTACTTACTGAAACAAGGGATGCTGCTAAAGAACTCAGTACTGGAATTCATATGGTGGGATCCCCATGTAACATATCTTTTTATATACATACTTTATCTATTCTTATTGTTTTTATATCTTACATTTATATTCGATCCCTTGTGAAAGTCTTAAATGATGTAGTAACATGCATATAAATCTTTTTGGTTGTGTTGGATTCAAGGAAAGTTTACAAACCGTCTTTTTCCATTTATTGTTTTGTATATTTTAAAGCTTTATATTGGAGCTATGTTCTTGGTCACGTGCTGGAGATGATATTCAACTCGATGGTTAATTTTAGCAATATTTTCTGTTTTTCCTTTTTCAAAAATCTCAGCATGTTGCTGAGATACCTTATGAGAACCAACTTGTGGTGGAGAGATATGGAATTGATCATGGTACCATTACATATCTGGAGAAAATCAAGCTACTGCAAGATAATTTACTGGCAGCTCATACAGTTTGGGTCAACGAAAATGAGGTATGCTTCCAAGCAATTTCGATGTTGTCAGCAGTAATGATTTCCAGTTCCTATTATTTGCTTATTTATTGTCAATAGAGATATGTACTCATAATTTAATGTTCCAGTCCCTGAAGTTGTAGGGTTCAGTGTTTCACCGCCAAAGTTTTTCATGTGTTTCATCCTCATTCTTTTTTAATGTATCTTCTTGGATGTTGGTTTGTGAATTGAGATCCAAGTGCAGCTCTCTAGGTTGAGAGCACAGCTATGCGCTAGGGCAACTCTCATCTTGATTGCTGCAATTAGGAATAACAAATAGGTTGAGGCCACTGATGACAGTTGTGTCATTTCAGATTCAAAGTATCTACCTTTAAGTTTTTATGTTAATTCATGTTCTCAGTTGATATTGTTTCTTCAACCTGACACTTTTTCTTTTTTCTCTTTTTATAAATCTAAAATATTTTTTCCTGAAAAATGTACTTTTCTTAAGCATCTGTAGTATTATTTTTATGAAAAACACTTTTTTTTGAATACTTTAAAAGTTGTAGCAGGGGTCAATGGATCTAACATGGACCTGATGCAGCAAGGCTCAAAAATGTGGTATGCCATCTGTAAACACCGGAGGACTGATATAGGAATTTACACCAGCAGCCGTCATCTAGAATAAAAAACATTAAGAATATAAATTGGATCGCACTTTAAGCATAAAAATTATTTGGATCCATGTACATCGGAATGAATCTGTGTACTAGCTTCCAAGGAATGAACTATGAATTTGTCCACATTCAAATATTTTTCATAACTCACAAATACTTATTCCTTAATGATTGTTGGGGGAAAAGAATAGAGATAATTCAGGATATTTATTTTGGGTGAAAAACTTATAATATGGACAAAGTTAAGAGGGAAGAATTACATGTGTGAATCATATATGTCACGAATGAAAATTTCATACAAACATATCTGTGTCAGTTTAAGAACAAAATCCAGCCAAATTTTGAGCCACTGAACTTCACCAATCCTGCTAATTAGGCCAAGGATCTTAAATGTAATTTCAAACATTTATAAAGGTTAATTATTTAAAATTTTAAATTGAAATTTGTAAACTGTAATTTATTATTAACCTAAAAATTCACAAATGCAACAGGTGCATGTCAATGTCATGCCCCATTAATATATCTAGTTTTTGGTGACCGATCTTTGGTTTCACTTTCGTAAATATAGTTTCTTAGTAATTATATAGGAGTAGTTGTTTTTGCAGATAATAACTGAAAAGTTTCGAATAGCTTTTAGATAACATATATGAAGCAGGAATGAAAAGATTTTGCTATAACCTGTCGCTTTTCATGCATTGCTCTACTTGTATTACATGTTCTTAAGCTGTGCTAAATTTGGTCCATAACTACTTTGGCTTATAACCATTTGTAAGTTGGTTTTCCTATAGACTCTAATTGCTAGAGCTTAAATTTTGCGAGTATGGACACTTATCTGTAGCCTGATACTTTGTAATCTCAGGTTCGTTTAATTTCACAATCGGGGGTCAAAGTATCTCATTGTCCTGCTGCTGCAATGCGTATGCTTGGATTTGCGCCAATTAGAGAAATGATTGACGCTGGTGTTTGTGTTTCTTTAGGAACAGATGGTGCACCTTCAAATAATAGGATGAGCATTGGTACCTGACATTCTCAATTATCTAGATTGCATATTTTTTTAAAAAAATAAAAAACTAAATTGCATATGGTGACTTGGTGGCAACTTCTAAAAATTTCGTGGATGAAATCAAGCAGTATGTATGGTTTTTAAACTGAATTTGTTATTCCTGTGTTACTTGTGTAGGTATCTTTTCTGACTAATAATTTGTACTGCAGATAGCTTGATCACATTTAATACACAGCCTACCTAATTACTTTTATCTTCTCTTGTTTCCATAAAATACTCTTATGTATTGCTTTGTAGTTGATGAGATGTACTTAGCTTCTCTTGTCAACAAAGGGCGTGAAGTTTTCGGAAAAGGAACCACAGATCCTACTGTCCTGCCTGCAGAAACAATTCTTGAAATGGCAACAATGAATGGTGCGAAATCTGTGCTCTGGGAAAAAGAAATCGGATCACTTCAAGTTGGAAAAAAGGTACAATCTTCGTTCAGTTTTCAACTCTTTTTTGCATATGTCTTCTCTTTAGTTTAAATTTAGCATTACTCCAACATTATCGACACAAATTTTGCGTTCACCTAGAAAGGGAAAATAAAAAGAAAATGAAAGGCAGCTAAATTTTGGATGCATTATTCTTTTCTGGGAGACTTTACAAACTTTAAAAGACAGTGAATCCGAGTTAATTGTATATCTCAGCGGCACATTCATCTTTGTAGTTTTAGATCTGAAGCCCGATAAATCTTTTACTTGCAGGCTGACATGATTGTAGTTGATCCTTCTTCTTGGTCGATGATGCCTGTTCATGATTGGTATGACTATTCAGCTCCACTTCGTGAAACCCAAAGTATAAGTACAATATCCCCAAAAGCAATTCTCATCAGAACAAGAATATATGCATGGATGCTTTAAATTTGCTAGTCCACGTCATCCCCAATTACAATTTAGCCAACTTTAGCATAAATATCATTAAGTCATAAATGGAGCACTTGAATATTTTTATTTTTACAACTAGGTTTTAGAAATTAAGTCGAGCAGTTTAGCCATTTTTTTTTTTCTCTCAGTGCTTTATTGATGATTGAAATTGATTATTATTATTATTATTATTATTTTTTTTTTATTGCATAGAAGATAAGTTTCTTTAGAGAAAGATGGTAAATTTCTGTTAGAACCACATTCTCAATCTAAAATGGAAATAGAAACTTCCTTTCAGTTGGAACCACATATATTTTTATCATCTAAGATCAAAGAGTTTGTGCGACATATTGATATTGATATTATCATTTTTCTTAGGCAGCATCATGAGCCTTCTTTTATCATCCACTTTTAGGCGTGCTAAAACATTGAGCATTCCTGTTTTTCATGATTGATACAAGAATGTTTCTAAACATGAACCGACTCTTCCGGATGATTTTTTGCAGCATCTCAAACCTTGTTTATTGCATGAGAACTGAAAATATTACATCTGTTATGTGCAACGGTTGCTGGATCATGGTAAATAAAAAAATCATGACCTTGAATGAGGTATGCCCCCACTATTCACTCTATTAATCAGTCTCGATCCTTGATTTTATTAGTATGATGCTGATGCAACTATGACTGTGACAGAAAGAAGTTATTGCTATGGCTCAGAAGGCTTCTAATGAGCTTTTGAAGCGGGCAGGGATTCAAATCCCGAGTAGAATGAACTTTTTGTGATTTCGCAACATTTAACAGTTAATGACAATTTGGTAATGTTTGTGATATCTTTTCCTTTTTATGGTACTTTTTCTTGAACAAAAAAAGGTGGGCGGTGCCATGAATGATCATGCTATATGTTCTCTTGGGTTTTCTTGGATTGTATTTTTAACAAGGTTTTGAAAGGCCCAAGGAGGCGACTTGTGGACTAGCGCCTATGGAGCATCGGTGGGGATTAGACGGGGCTCAAGTGGGGTCGTAAAATGTGAATAAAATTATTTATATTTATAATCATGCATATCATACAAAATACATTATGTAAAATATACTGCTTCCTATTTTTTATAAATGTCATTTTGGTTTTATTAACAATTAATCAAATAAATAACGTTTTAGATCTTTTGTACATATTTTTTCATTATTACCCTTATCTAGCTAATAAATATATTACGTCTCATGTTCACTCTTCATCTTTTCTCAAAACATCCATCTCTATCTTCATTAATGAGGGTTATTATTGAAAAAAAAAAAAAATTATTAATTATTGTACAACTTTCAAAATGACACTTATTAAAAAAAATGAGGGAGTGTTAATTAGTATGATTAAATACAAAGATTATGAAAGAAAATATTAGTGCATAGCCCGTGTGATCTACGGGAGATAGATCTTATAGGTCAAGCTCCATACGACCTGTCTGCTTAGCCCAAAAAACAAGAATGTTAGGATGATTCATTTTTCACCTATTATAATTAGTATTTTTATTTATTTATTTATTGTTAAACCATTAAATATGAGCTCGTTAGGTGAAATATGTAAAGTAATTAATATATTAACTTGCTAACCGATCATATAAATATAATGAACATTTTAATAAATATATTAATTGGCTAACCCATTCATATAGTATATGTACAGCATGTCATCAATAATGACTATTTTATAAAAATAAAAGGAACAAAATCACAATGAGAGAGGTAACACATTGAGGGTCTATTTATGTTAATTTACCAAATATTCCAATCAATCAACCTAATATTTTTAGGTCATTATGTATTGAAATTTAAATTTCTATAATAAAAAACACCTTGGATTGAACAATTGTGAGAAATAAATTCTTTCCATAATAATGAGATTTTTTTTTCTTTGCATATGGTTTTATAGTTTACTTACTATACTCTGCAATGAAAATGTAATTACAATAATTTTATAATTGAAAGAAATAAAAAAACATTCCATCCCTTGTCGGGACCCGAGAGACTCCTAACAACAAAGAGGTCGCACTGAAGGAAATGCACCCCCCACATCCAGGCACCCTTTAGAGGAAAAAGGATAGCAAAGGTGGGAAAAAGACGGGTGACTGAAGCACCTCCCTGAGAAACGGCCACTCGACCCTAGGAAATTGATGGTACCTTTTGGATTTGGGTATATTTAATATATTAAATAATAAATATGTTATACCACATACATGAAAGAGAAAATCTATACATATATAATAAGAACTAGTACGACACCCGTGTACTACACGGGTGAATGAAAAAATAATTTAAACAAAAATAGAAAGAATTTAATTATTGTAAATATATACAAAATCAAGTCCAGAAATGCTTACTTGTGAATTAAGATTTCATTCAGTTAAATCTCATCATACATAATATTCACTATGTTAAAACGTAGCCTGTTGACAGAGGCTTCAATATCCTTCACCGCGCCTTTCCAGTCAAGACCTTCCATCAAGTGTTGGGCTTCAGCAGCGTCTAGACCAACCTTCCCTCTGTACAAGCTATAATTGATAAGAAAATGAAAAAGATAAGATATAGACAACTACGAACACCTTAAGAGAAAATTACATCCATAAAACGAATAGAATAATAAACATAAGAAAAAAATAAAGGGTAAATCTCAACTTGCATGACAAATACTATGTTTCTTACTCTGGCATCAATGCTTTGTAGCCCTTATCAAACCTCAAAATCATCTGGGCTTGATTCTTGATCTCAAAATCAACGCCCCACCATTCATGAAGCACAACAATCCCTGGAGCATCATCTCTCCCGATCACATAGGCATCAAATGTCTACTCACCAAATTTTCCATTCAGGAAGTATCTCAAAAACATACATAAGTAAATGCAAGAGCTTAAACGTATCCATTCGACACCATAAAACAAAATGAAATACATGTGAAATTACATTCAAATAGATATCACTTTATGGTCTTTCTTGATGCTTTTCTGATAGATAAAAGCAGAATCCAAGTAAATTTATAGAAAACAGGCTAATGAATGTTGTACACAAGCAGATATTCAAACTCAAATCACTAAAATTCCATCTCTTTCATTACGCATCAATACTAATGAAAGTTCCATCTCTTTCATTACTCAAATCACTAAAGGAAATCGATTGTTATTGTGATTTATGTGATTGTGATAAAATCTGAGGAAAAAAAGAGACAACAAACGGGGGATGATCTTTCTTTTCACCTCAGCATCCGAGATTTTCCTATTTTTCGGGATGAATATTGATTCATGGAGATGTCCGAACATAGTTAGGATGATCAAACGTAGAAGGAACCGATCTTTCTTTTCACAGGGGATAATCTTTCTTTTCACCTTAGAAATCCTATTTTCCTAATTTTAGATTTCAGCATAGAAGGATGATCAAGCATAGAAGGAACCGGTCTTTCTTTTCACATCAAATCCCAATTGCAGTTGAACCCAAGTATAACAAAAACAAAATGAAACATATGTCTACAAAATTTATTACAAACGAACCCATAAAAATTATATATTCAAATCAGCAAAATTAATGACCTTGATAGCTTCAATGGCGTACTCGACTTGAAATAGCCGACCTTCAGGGGAGAAAGTGTTGACCTCTATCGTACTCGGTCCTTTTAGGAAACACAAACCCCAAATTCGACCCTAAAAAAAATCGAAATGGATCTAAATCAGACTAACCTTAAACCCAAATGAAAAGAAGACAAAGCTAAGCAAAGCAAATTTTTTTCGCGTAGGATAATATTGAAGAATGTGAAAGTCATCAATGGCACTCCGGCGAAAGGAAGAGGAAGATGACAAACTCGGTAGTTGGAAAGAAATTAATGGCATATTGATGGGTTTACTTTTTTAACGACAGATTCACTTAGCTCTGTGTAATATTACAAATAATTATGCGTTGATTTTGGTTAGTAAGATTACAAAACAATTAGAGGGTAATATTGGTCAAAGTATTATGAAATTATCTTAATTAGTTGTTTAATATATATATGGAATGTTCGAGCCTAAAATTATAGAATTAAAATAACAATAATTTAGTCCAAACCAAATACCGAAGCATAAAATTTTGCCAAGAAAGATTTCGAAGCGTGCGAGTCTACGATTTAGGCTCAGCACATTCTGAATTAATATATAGGGGGGATTACCATTTACCAAAAATAGTAGCTATAAAAAATTATCAACATTAATTGCAATCCATTAATAGTAACTTATTTTTTTATTTTAATACTTTAAAAAATAAGTTAGCATTAAATGTTGCCACAAATTGTGGGTTTTAGATCATTTTAGGATTTAAAATCTCGGGTGAAATTTTAGAAATAAGGTTTACATCTTGAGCTAAATATTTCATTCCGTGTATGTAGCGCACTAAAATGGCCTATAAACATTTGAGNGATAAAAGCTTATAAATTTTAAAGTATAAGCCAAAAACTATTTTCAAGGATATATATATGAAAATTTTTAAAAGCTACAAAATTTGACAGAAAAAAATGTCTACTAATGAACTTATAAAAATAAAGATTAATAATCATTGACATACAATTTTTTGGCAACCGTAATCACATGATTATTGTCATTGATATATTTCCACAGAACTAAAAATTTTCTCTAATTAATCCATTTTTCTTAAAAATCAGAATCACATGTGTTGATGTCTAAAATTGACCAACAATGTGTTCGAACTGTGTACTGGAATTTACACTTTGTTTGGTCTGCACGAATAGGGATTTTGTATGGTATTCGGTATAAAAGATAATACGAATGTGTACTCTATCCGTGACTCGTTTTGCATTTAATGAGAGTATTTACTCATTGCATTTAATGTTGCCTCTTGCTCCTTATATAGGAAGTGTGAGGACTTGTTACATGCCAACTTTTTGGCTTCCTTTTTCCTTTTTGCTTTACAAGATATTAACTAGATATTTAGTCACACCACATTTAATGCTAATGTACTACAAAACACCATCTCAATAAAGCGGACTCGCCCGGGTTGCGACACGCGTCCCAGATTACTAGGCACCATTGGATAGAAGATTACCGAATCCGCGCGCATTTAATACGTATCGTACGGATCGTACGGCTTTTATTTTGGTGATGATGAAGGCTATCCGGACACGCTACCCATGTCTCGGTCGGTCCTCGTTTGGGTTCGGTTCGTTCCATTACCTATCCCCCTGCGACCCCGAGTAAACCTTTAAGCAGTTAATTTTCCTATCCGTTCGGTCTCTACCACGTACAAAGGCCCCCAGGTTCGGTAGATACAGGCAGACTTGTGTCGATCGTATCTGCCGGAGCTGCTTTATGCATCCTCATGGAGCCAAATGGGAGGAATGAACCAATTAAATGCTGTTTCGTGAAAAGTCGCGCTCCTTTGCATTTCTGAACCGACAGTCTCTGTATCTTTTGACATGTCGCGATTTCATTGGTTCGATGATATTAATGGCGTGTGAGAAACGCTTCATTACCTCACACTGTTTCAGATCTGAATCATTTCGTTTTCTCAAGGGTTAAAATGTTCACCTATAAATACGGCGCTCCCCGAGTTTAAACATTTTTCTTACTCAAAATTTTCCCAAGTTCTTAAAATCTCTCGCGTTCCCGAGACCGAGTACTGCACCTGTTTGTTCGTTGTTTCTACAAAGTCGTGACTTTCGATAAGTACTTTCATTTTTCTTGTCGGTGATCTTTTATTCCTGTAGCCTCTCTTTTTCTCTGCCCAAAACATCAAACATGTCTACTCCCTCCGAGAGTTATAATGAAGAACAATACGAGGAGGCCCTCCAGGGAGATACGACGGGCCGTCTGCGACTCCCCCTTATCAAAGAAAACGCCGAGGAAGATTGAAAAATTGAGGAATCAATCGTTGCTGTCCCAAGGGGATACTGGCGACGACCGTATCGCGAGTGGCCGACCCAGACCTGGTATACGCTCGCCTCCGTACCGAGCGATATGACCGACGATCGGGTAATTGAACTACGGACCTCTATCTGGGTACCTAGAGAATTGCGAATGTTCGCTCCATACAGGCGCGAACGCATTCATTGTCCGCCGCCAGGGTAAGTTGGTGTAGCCGAACGGTCTGTGGAGTTCGGGTTGCGATTCCCCTTGCCACGAATCTTGACCGAATATCTTCGAGATTGGGGAATCGGTTTTAGTCAAATTTCCCCAATCGTGTGGCTAAGAATAATCAGCCTACTCGTTCTTTTTCACGAGAAGGGTTGGGAAGCCCCGAACTGCGACGACATTCGAGCTCTATTCCTTTTCAAAGAGACTCGAAAAAGGTCCGGACAGTTTTCGATTTCCGTTCGGGATACAACTTTTGGCAACTTAATTAGGAAAGTTCCTGAAACCATCAGCAAATACAAGAAGTTCTGGTTCTGGGTCGGTCGCCGATGGCAGACCGTTCGGTCTGAAGGAGATCCCGAAACGTCCGAGTTTTTGACTGTCCCCACTAGATTTGTGTCAAAGATGGGTCAGTTTGTTCTCTTTCGCTTTACTTGGGTCGCTTGCCCTGATTTGTGTTATTTTTGTCCACACTAACAGGTGCAACTCGTTATTTCAACCAACCACAAGCACGTTCGGAACTGCGGGAGTCCTTTGCTAATCGGTTGCACGAACTGCTTAAATTAGAAGATTCCCTGAGAGAGTGGCCCCTGTTAGTTGGAGACGCTTGTTTAGCTGGAGCAGGTCTTTGTTCGGGTCACATCGAGCTGGCTTGTGAACCGAGTAAGCGTATATTTTTTGTTATCAATTTCAGTCTCGCATTTTCTCCCCTTCCTTTTCTTTTACTTATATCTTGGTCGTCATATACCGACCGTTTGGCAACATTCAGCTTATTATCCGTTAGACGACTTCAAAGGGGCCGGAACCGACGTTGCGGCCAAGAGGATAGCTAAGGGCAAAGGAAAGAAAGTTGCCTTCAGTTCAAAGAAAAGACATGAGAGTTTTGAATCGACTGAGGAGATGGACCGTCTAGCTATGTTGGAGAGAATGCAGGCGGCAGCGAAGCAAGCCGCAGCTAAAACGGTTGTCGAACAGAGCGTTGAGGTTATTGCTTCCTCGGGTGAGGAGGACGAACAACCTCTGCAGGATGTCCGCCAAAAAGGGTGCAAGCGAGCCAGAGAGGACAGTAGTGCACCGGCTGGGAAGAAAACTGGTTCGTCGTTACCCGTCGAGCAGGGGTCCACTGTCGATCCTGGTGACCGAATGGAGCGAGCGGGCTTCTTCGGAGAGAAGGACGCTCATGTTCATCAGGACGGCTCTAGTACTTATCTTCCCATTGAATCGACGAGAGCCGCGCGTTCCGAACGCTTGAAAGGGGTAGCAGATGATTGGTTTATCAAGTTTAAATATGTGGGCCGTCCGCACATTGCGAATGCGGCCAGATGGCCTGTACACGTTCTTGAGTCAGCCGTGGTGCCGTTGATGAGTTGGGACGTTGAGGCCGAGCAAGTGGCTCAGGCGTTGAGTCCGCTTGAAAGGATGGAGCACGCGTCCGGTTCTTTTGGCCGGGCTATGTGCATGCAGGCCAGTGCCATGACCGAGTTTCGCAGGATCGCAGGCGAGCTTGTCCACCTGAGGACCGAACACGCCCTTTGCGAGAACAAGATTGATATAGCCACATAAGTATAACCCGGTCCAGAAGATCCTTACTCAACCAACGAACCACTCGAATTACCCTCATGTCGACATGAATCAGTCGACATGCCCCAATCGACTTCCCTAAGGACGATTCTATTAAGAGCAATCAAGAAGAAGCAGAGATGGATCTAGTCGACCCCATCAAGTCGACCTTAACCTATCGACTTTCATCAATCGACATCACTAAGAAGAGGAACAGCGAGAGTACAGCTCTCGGGCTCCCAGGAGTCGACTGAACTAAGACGACTCTCTGAGGACGACTTCGCCTCACAGAACCAGTCGAGCGTAGCTTCCGAACCCGCACGTACCCACGAGTCGACTTTCATGATCTCGAAGTCGACCTCGAATACCTCGAGTAACAAAGATAGGATGACGACTCATCATACTTGCAATATACTCGAAATCCTACATATCATGACAGGTAAGAAGGAATCTTGCGGTGACTCAGCACTAAGGGGAGACGAATCGACCAGGGCATTTTGGACCTTCTAAGTCCACCGATTGGGGTACTTTGGGCATTTCGCGTAAGTATTCACTCCTATATAAAGAAGATGAGGTAACCCTAAACCCCAACTCTCATTCATTCCACTCTCTCCTATAGCTGCTGCGCAGCCTCTCTTCATCACTCTCATACTGACTTGAGCGTCGGAGGCTCTACGCCGGAAACACCTCCGGCGTTGAGTTTTTGCAGGCATTCTTGCGATCTAGCGACGGTTTAAAGACGGTTCAAGCAGATCTGAGCTCATAACCACCGGTTTACTCCAGATCCAGAAGTAGACCCATCATTTGGCGCCGTCTGTGGGGAGTTCTTAAAGGAAGGAAGAGCTTCACACCCAGTTCCGATCTGTTTGACAATGGCGGAGAAGGAGAGCTTGCAGAGGAACCTGAGCGAGGACTTCAGAGGGACGTGGATGGACAAAAGGCCACCACCACTTCCCACTACCAAACACTCCATGGTTCAGATGACGGGAACGCTGCCGTTCGGAGGACTTCCACCACCCGGGCTGACGTTGGGCGGAGAGACGCCTGTTACTCCAACCGGCGTGAAGTTGCAGGTGTTGACCCAGATAGGGACAAGTCAAAACCCTAATCCAGGAGGGGAGAAGGAACAAACGGAGATGTCTCGGCGTGAAGGAAAACAGATACAGGAGATGCAGGACCAAATCCAACCCCAGGTCGAAGAGCAGACCTTG